AAATGTTTTCACTGAAGAAGAGAGACAGGAAGATTATCAAGAAACCAAGAAGCTTGTCTCATTGCATGAAGAAAAATATTGCTGCAGTGAATCTTATGCTTCTTTTGTCAGCTACATAGACTACATTACCAAAGGAGAAAAAATTGTCACAGAGTTTGAGGATTCGAATAACGAGTGTGGAAATGATGATGATGAAGTGTCAAAGTATGTCACCCTGATGCTGACAAAGAATGAAGATGTGCAGCTGCTGGAGTGGTGGAGACAACAGAAGCACAATTTTCTTCTTTTTTCAGTCGAGTTGCACGGTTTGTGCATTCCACCGTCCCTGCATCCAGGGTACCCTCCGAGAGAGCCATCTCAGTCTCTGGTTGCACAGTTAATGAGAATCAAACTTCACTTTAGCCAGGAACTGTGGATGATTTAATGGTTTTACACAGTAATATTTCAAAGAAAATCAACTGTTCCAAGAGACATCTAAGACGAAGTCCCGCAATTCAGGGCTGGTATAAGTCACAAGCTAAACAGGCGCCCAACTTTTTATTTTATAGTTCAGTTTGTGATTTTGAGTATTATTGACTTGAGATGTTTATTTTATTTTTGTATGTAAAATGCTGTTTGTTCTGATGCCTGTTTAAAATAATATAGCAAGTGTGTGCATTTATGAAGCCATATAGCTTCCTTATACAGTATTGATGCATGCATATTGATGCTCCTCCTGAGAGGTACAGTGAGATACGGCACTGGTGCATGAGCAGATGCGGATACATATGAAAGTGGGGTGCGGATCGCGGGTCAGATACAAGTTATTTATTGTGGATGCGGATCCAAATTTTTATATTCCCACAGCTCTCTATCTGTAAGAAGACCTCAGTTTCAAGTCTCCTTTTTTAAAAGGTCTTCCCCTCCGCACGGATATTCAGGATAGGTAAACTTTAGCCAGGATGTCTTTTCCTGGGTTGTACAATTTTTCGAGGTGCTTTTAGCTAGTATCGTCTGGTTAGGGAGGCAGCCTCTGCCTGACTGCACCACAAATCATGAGCATGGTTTTCTATGTACACTAATACATACATTCATAACCACACTCTTCATACATATCTCCTAATGACCATTAAGTTTAATACATTACAAGCTTTCATAAAAAATCTTACTCGCCTTTTATAATATAATAAAGTTGTGTATAATCTGTTGATTCAACTGCCTATTCTTTGCGGTCAAACTCCCTATTCTCCCCGTGGTGTGTTTGGACCCTGATTGTCACAGGCGCAGAGAACCCAGCTGCTGGTGGTGTCCCAAAGCTGCCTGGGCCCATATGCTGCTGGCCTGTTTACTGCAATAGAGCTAATCAAACTCATCCCAGAGTAGCATAGGAAAGTCTCCTGTCACCGGGGAAGAAACAAGGCATCACATAACTAGAAATCTTTGAAAGGATTGCAGAGTATCTCCACGAAAGCTTCATTTAGATCTCTTGAGGATAAAAGGGATGCCCTTATTCAGATAAACAAAGTACGCTTCCTCCCCCTCCCCCCCGTCTAGCCTAGTAAACCAAAGAATTGAAAAGTGGACACTGAGTCTACTTTCTGACACTAATCTGATGTGGACTGTGTAATCAGATTGCCTTTCTAATTTCTTTGAATTTATTCCCTAATGTTTTATTTTCTGACATTATACTACTAAAGTAAACAATCAAAAGTCAATGCCTTTGTTCTGTAAATCCACGGATGAGATGGGCACCATTTTAAAATGGGGAATGATGGTGGAAGCGGGTTTAGGTAGGAAGATGAGGTTTTGGGTAACAAAAGGCAAAAAAATTATTATAAATTGCATGTATGTGCTTAACGAGCTCCCTTCCCCTTCATCAGCAAGCTTATCTGCACTCACTTGGTGGGACTGGTTTGAAACCGCTGCTGTGTTTCCCACCTCCAATTATCAGTAACCAGTTTGCTTAAAAATTATTGAAAACTGAGCTCCGTATGTAATGCTCCTCTAGGTATTACACAGTTTTGTAGTATTTGGAATATAAATGTCTGATTCTGAACCTTCGTTTGATACCAGAATGATGTCAAAGAGCTGTTTTGCTCCATGATTGTGCGTTTAGTTCTAACCAAATTTCTGTGACTTCAACAAGAATACAGTACTTTAGGGACTTGACTCTCTCCTGGTGCTGTTCTGTATAAACAAATATGGAACTGTAAAACTGCACAGTGTGAGGTTAGATAGGATAAACAAGGTTTTTTCTTACTGGAAGTAGACACAGGGATAGTGTCTGGTTATACATCCAGCCAGAGTCTGCAAGAAATAATTTTAGTTTCTCAGAAGTTGAAGAAGCAGTACAAGTTTGGGGATGGGAGGAGTAATGCAGCAGAGAATGCGTCTATAGTGTTTATTTTTTAGAACTCTGTAAACAGCAGTTGCATTACATCCTGCTAAACCTTGATCTTTTTTCAGCATTTTTAACAGTGTAACAAAGAAAAAGTTGCAAGATAAGGTACATCGGTTTTCACTTGCTAATTCGTCATGACTAGAAAGTATTTTTATTTTTTTTATATTAAAACTTTGTCAATTTTATTTTAATTTTTAAATATTTAAAGTGAAAGCTTGAAATGTTAATGCAATTTTAGATATGTTGTATTTGGTAGCAGCCACACTTTAAAAAAGAATATTCCAGTAACACAGTTGTTGTAGACTTCACACTATATAGCAGGGGTGGGCAGACTACGCCCGAGGGCCGCATCTGGCCCACCAGCCATTTTAATCCAGCCCTTGAGCTACCGCTGGGGAGCGGGATCTGGGGCTTGCTCCTCTCTGGCACTTCAGCCAGGGAGCAGGGTTGGGGGCCGCTCCACGCAGCTCCTGGAAGCAGCGACATGTCCCCCCTCCGGCTCCTACACATAGGGGCAGCCAGGGGGCTCCACTCTGCACGCTACCCCCACCCCAAGCACCGCCCCCTGCAGCTCCCGTTGGCCAGGAACCATGGCTTGAGGTAAGCGTTGCCCGTAGCCTGCACCCTGAGCCATCCCCACCCCTGCCCCAGTCCTGATCCCCCTCCTGCCCACCAAACTCCTCAGTCCCAGACTGGAGCACCCTCCTACACCCCAAACCCCTCATCGCCTGCACCCCCAGCCGGAACCCTCCCTCTGCCCCACCCCAGCCTGGAGCCTGCACCCCCAGCCAGAGCCCTCACCCCGTCCCATACCCCAACCCCAATTTCATGAGCATTCATGGCCCACCATACAATTTCTATACCCAGATGTGGCCCCCGGGCCAAAAAGTTTGCCCACCCCTGCTATATAGTATATAATCTTACTACAGTAGAACCTCAAAGTTACGAACACTTTGGGAATGGAGGTTGTTCGTAACTCTGAAATGTTCGTAACTGAACAAAATGTTATGGTGGTTCTTTCAAAAGTTTACAACTGAACATTGACTTAATACAGCTTTGAAACTTTACTATGCAGAAGAAAAATGTTGCTTTCCCTTTATTTTTTTTAGTAGTTTAGGTTTAACACAGTACTGTATTTGCTTTTTTTGTGTGTCTCTCTGCTGCTGCCTGATTGTGTACTTCTAGTTCCAAATGAGGTGTGTGGTTGATCGGTCAGTTCGTAACTGGTGTTCATAACTCTGAGGTTCTACTGCAGTATATTAAAAATATAACATTTGTGAATCTTATAAGACTTTAAGAAGGACATTTTATAGTATAAATTACTTGTAAATATCAGCTTATCTAGCAATGACAAGACATCAAACTGAGGAATCTAGAGTATAGATTAGGCCTTGATTTAGTTTAAATATTATTGGTCAGATTTTCAGAAGTGCTGAGCATCCACAAATCCCATTGAAGTTAATGTAAGCTGCTAGTGCTCAGTACGTTTGAAAATCAGACCATATCACTTTGTAGTAATGTAAACTTGTAATTAAGGTTGCAGTTCAACTTTTATTGTATCCACTTATGTCCATTCATAACTGTCTCAGATTTTCTTTTTGCCTTGGAACTGAAACTTTCCACTCTAGGAATGAAATCCTGGCCCCATTTAAGAGAGTGGGAGTTTTGCTATTGATTTCAGTGGAGCCTAAACTGAACTCAAGCCAGGTCTCAGCTCAAAAGTGAATGTTTTTGGGACGTTTACACACAACATATTCAATACTTTCTCCATTTAAAAATAGGCTTTCTACATACACTTACCTCAAACAGCAGAACTTTAAAGCTTACCTTCATACATGGTTAGCCCTCAGTGAAGAAATCTATGAGGGCAAGGCTAGCTTTTATGGAGGAGGAGGAAAAGTTTAGGAACAACTTTCAAATGAGAAAATAGGAATTAAAAATCGGTGTATGCATGCAACACACTTTTTTTTTTAACTGCAAGTTTTTAGTTATGTTATTGCCTGCAGTACTGTGGAGTTATACAGTTTCATAGTGGTTAAATTCATAATTCTATAGTATCAAAATGATATTTTCCCTCTAAATTCAGAATAGTGTCGTTTAAATTCTCTGGCATCACAGAAAAACACAATTGCATAACTTCATAAGCAGAATTTTTGTTTATCTGTTGTAGGTCTTGCAGTTTATAGAGTTTATATAATAGAATTCTAAACTTCATATTATAGTTAGCTATAATGTTTTTAAAATCTAATGTAATTAAATTCAAATATCTACATTAATGCAACTTAAAGTTGTAAACTTCAAATATTAAAGTCAGGAAATTCGAAAGTTCAGGATCTCAGAGCAATATTAATGTAGTCACATTTTGCATATAGGGAGGTGTTTTGAATTATTAAGGCTTTTAAGTTAATTTATTTAATAAGTATTATGTGCAGTTTGGGTCAGTTAAGATTTTTATAGCAATGTTAACTTTTGCATTTCCTAACTTACAGAGTTGCTGTAAGTATGATATTTGCTTTGATGTAGTTTTTAATGTATTTAATTTTTTCATTTCATATATGAAACATACTTGCTTTAACTGCCTTTTTATGTGTTTTAAAACTAGGTGAATTTTCTTTTTCAGGTAAGCTTCTGGGTCGTTAGAGAGATTCTTCATGCACAAACTTTAAAAATAAGAGCTGAAGTTTTGAGCCACTATATTAAAACTGCTAAGGTAAGACTTTATTTGTTTTGGGACTTGATATGCTGTAACTTTTATATGCGAGTTCACCCTTTCAAAAATGCATGTGGATAAATATTTGTTTAACACTCCATTTGGCTGCAGTGGTGTCTGTTAACATGTGGTAGTGTTTGGCCTCATCAGTGTGACAACATCAGCAGAAAGGGTGACAGACCAAAGCTCCAGAACTGGAGTTATATGCCTAAAGAAAAATTTACTTGGTTTAAGAAAATGCTTTCAGATGCTGTATTTCAAATAATTTACTAATTAATTTTTACTAATTTTAATGTTTACTAATTTTATTTTTCTATCAGTATAATTTATTTCCCGTTTTGTTGGATAATCTGAATTAAGCACCTGTCGCTATTTGCAGGCTCTGAATATTTTACTTTGCTCTGGCTGCTGTTCTTTAAAATACATTGTTTATTTTTGCTGCTTGGAAGGAAAGGGCCTGAGACCTCTTTTCTTCTAGTAATAATGTTATGGCTAATATCAATCTGTCTGGTATGAAATACTTTCTTTTGGGTGTAATACAATTTCAAAAATATTTTTTTGAGTAAAGGTGTAGTAGATCAAGCAGCCGCTAGCCATGTTTCCCTCATCTCATATTAATGTTGCCTGTTCCAATACATTAGCTAATCATCCATGTACAAATCCTGTTGTTACTTGTGTGAATACTCTTCCATTGTGCAACCTCTGCATGGGGCTGAGTTCCCTGCGAAGCTCTAGACAGCTCCCTACAAAGTACTATGAAATGTTTTGAGGGCAAGATAGAAGATCTCCTATTCTCTTCCCTGTCTCTCTGCTTCATGGTTTCTTATAGCACCTATCACTATAATATCTAGGTGATGGAAGCTATCCCAAGCATTAGGTTCCCACATTTTCCCCCATAGATCTTAGCATCCATCTGGAAAAAAATCAGAGGGGGGGGGAACACAGGGTTTTAGAATTCAACTTGTTTAGAATTCAAACCCTTGTATGTCTCTTAACAGTGTTACTGGGGTTGAAATGATGTAGGTTTTGTCAGTTAAAACTTGTCAGAGTTGTGTGCAAGTGGGTTTGGGCATGCCTTTTCTATTCAGGTCCTTATATAGTCTTCATCACTATTTAATGCCTTAAATTTTGCCCTGAAAAATAAGATTAGGAGAAAGAAAAGGGATAAAACCTCTAGGATCTATTTTAACTGAAATTTTATTAAAAAGTAGTAACATTAAAAAGATTTTGTTCTGTTCCTGACTGCACTCTTTAACAGAAATATATGGCTAGAATCACTCCCCTGTTTACATCTGGAGAAACTGTCATAGAACTAGGCAAAGGTCCCCAAAGGTCAACCAGGAGTTGGGGAGGTTATGGCAGGAGATCAGTAATAGTACAGAAGTTTGGAATGGCTGATTGAAAAAAGGACCTGGTCAGGGGATGTTAGGTGTGCACACATTCAGCACCAACTTGAAGCCGATTTGGCTCCAGTACTCCTATATCTTTCCCATTGGGTAATTAAAGCTTCTCTTTTCTGATGGAAATCCCTAAGGGAGGGCAATGGTGGAAACTCCACCTGACCTTCCTGTAAGTGAATTTGCCTGGGTGGATGGTAAAAGGGACCTCATTAGCTAGGAGGGATTCAATTTATACCCTGTTCTGTCTTCAGAAAATCTTGCCCAGTTAACACTTGTAAATACCATAACTGAACTGCCACTTATTTTCAATTCGTTGTTGTATTACAGCCACTGACACACAGCCTGAAATACTGTATGCAATATTCTGCCAAGATCTCCCTCTCTGAAATGTCTGCAGTTTTGAGATAATTGTGGAAGCCCACTACATTTTATCATTCGCTTTAGCCATGGAATTGAGATTTGTGTTTAATAGTAAAACGCACAAAATTTACTGAAAATAGTTCTTGAGTCTTTAATCTGTTATAACACATTAACCCTGAGCTAAATGTAAGCTTCAGGAAGCGTGCTTATTCTAAAACACCTTCTATTACCAGGCATGTAATGCACCTTTGTCAGCTTTGTGGAAAGTACTTACTGGTACTTTTACCTGCCTGCCAATATTCATAACTCCAGCATTTTTATTAACACGCAATTCCCTGTTGTTGGTTGTGAAGTGACTCAAATTATATTCTAATCCCTGGAAAACTCTGCAGATTTCTCCACTCAAATCAGGAAGAATCTTGTGTTGTTGATACTTAGTGTGTCACCCTCATTGCAAGGAAATATAACTAAATTCTAACCATCACACTTATTCACCTCATACAATATAGTTTGATTTCTGATACATTAAAGGAAACATCAAAACACAGATTCTGCTAATATGTTCTCCATCCTGTACTTTCATAACACAGGAATTCTACTTAGTGTCTGACTACATCACTGCAACTAGAATGTGGTTTCTGAACTTGTGAACACAAGACGCTTTTGTATTTCCTAACTTTTCTTCTGTTTAGACCCAAATTCATTTCTGTTCTTTGTACATTTGGTATTATCTTTTATTGTAAATTGTTTTCGTCACAAGTTTAATGAAACGGAGGTTATAGAAAATATATGATAACACTAATCCCACATTATCTAAACTGTTCTATTTTTCAAAAGTTGTCCATTTTGCACTTGCAGAGTTTGAGACACATGGAAGTTTCTTTCAGAGATGTTGAGAAAATTTACACACATCGTTTGGTCAATAATAGTTTTTTTTGTCTACACAGATTCCCACTCTTGGGGTTATTCTTCCCTTTTAAAATGCAAGCCTGAAGCACTTCAACTATCTGTTCAAGTCAGTTCATGAGTTTAAGGAGTCAAATGTTTTCAAGTGAGGCTATATCAGATACATACACCAGAAACAATCATTTTAAGGTTTAGTTTTGCATCTTATCAGTTTAAACTGAGGTCGTCTCAACATCCTCCTTACTTCAGGCATGCAGAAAAGCCAACACTAGAGAGAGAAACATGCTCCATCTGTAGCTGCTGAGTCTGTGGCCCTATTGGCATCAAATCAGCAATTTTGATGGGATGCCTGGGAGCCTTAGTTTCTGTAGAAAATACAGAAAATACCCTCCACCCTGGTTCCCATTTGAGGACTGTTTCTCTTAATGTTCTGTGACATGAAGTGGAAAATACATTAGACCAGTGAGTACTAATAATAATCCAGAAACGATTTTCAATCCTATTCCGCTCCATCATTGTTGTTCATTATTTACATTACCATAGCAGTACTCATGCACCAGGACCCTATTGTGCTAGGGACTACAGAAACAGACTGAAAAGATAGTCCCTGCCTCTAAAGTGTTTATAATCTAAGTCGAAGACAGTAACAACAGATGGATACATATAGATGGAGGAGTGGAAGGAAACAGTGAGACCATATTCATCCGCATGAAGGCAGTGGCCTAACCATTGTCAAGCTTTTTTGTTGGCATCATAACAAAGGAGAGTTTTCTTTAAGAGGGATTTGAAGGAGGAAAATGAGGTAGCTTTGCAGATGGTTTATGGGGAGCTCCTCCCAAGCATGAGGGGTAGCATGGGAGAAAGCACAATGATGCTAATTTGAAAATCTAACAAGTGGGTGATGGACACTGACATAGTTGCCTGGTCAGAGGAAGGGGCTGACACTTCAACAGTGAATGGGAGATGGTATGTAGGGTGGAGAGGGCCTTAGAAGTGAGAACAAGCAGTTCATATTTAATGTGATCGAGAAGGTGGAGCCTGTGGAGGGATGCAAAGAGAGAGTTACCATGATCAAAGCAGTGGGCAAGGAGAATGATCTTTGCAGCAAGATTCTGAATGGATATGAGGGAGGCAAAATTACATTTATCAGGGCCAGAGAAAGATATTGTAGTAATCAAGATGAGAACCAGGACAAGAAATTTTGCTGTGTGGATTGACTAGGATAGGCTGTATCTTAGAGATGTCTTGCAGAAAGAATGTAGAAAATATAGATATATCTTGATGTGAGGACATAGAGACATCAGAGTCAAAGATGACACCCATGTTACAGGCCTGAGTGACAGGCAGAATGGTGGTGGTGTCCACAGTGATCAAGAAAAGAGGTAGGGGAGAGGACTTGTGGGCAGAAAGATTAAGAGCGCCATTTGACTTATGTAGAGCTTGACTGACAGGCACACCTCCATGAGGAAATAGCAGAACGTGATGCCAAGATTTTAGCTTGGGTAGAAGGAGACAGGTCTGTAGTAAAGAGCACTCCATGTTGCCTGCCTTTTCCTAATGCCTTTTCAGTGATCTTGTTCACAAGAAAGCTATTGTGATCCTAGGATGTGTAAACAGAGGAATTTTGAGTAGGGGTAGAGAGGTTTGGAGCTCTATATTTGGCACTGGTGCGACTGCTGCTGGAAAACTATGTCCAGTTTTGGTGCCCATAATTCAAGAAAGATGTTGATAAATTGTAAAGGGTTCAGAGAAGAGCGCTGAGAATGATTAAAGGATTAGAAAACATGCCTTTATAGCAGGGGTGGGCAACCTATGGCACGCGTGCCAAAGGTGGCACGCAAGCTGATTTTCAGTGGCACTCACACTGCCTGGGTCCTGGCCACCGGTCTGGGGGGCTCTGCATTTTAATTTGATTTTAAATGAAGCTTCTTAAACATTTTACAAACCTTATTTACTTTACATACAACAATAGTTTAGTTATATATTATAGACTTATAGAAAGAGACCTTCTAAAAACGTTACAATGTATAAATTAGAGTGAATAAATGAAGACTCGGCACACCACTTCTCAAAGGTTGCCGACCCCTGCTTTATAGTGATATAGACCCAAAGAGCTCAAACTATTTAGCTTAACAAAGAGAAGATTAAGGAGTGACTTGATTACAGTCCGTAAGTATCTAAATGGGAAACAAATATTTAATAATGGACTCTTCTGTCCAGCAGAGAAAAGTATAACAGGGTTCAATGGCTGGAAATAAAAGCTAGACAAATTCAGACTGGAAATAAGGTGTACATTTTTAACAATGATGTTAATTAACCACTGGAATAATTTAC